CTTCTCGAAACCCTCGGCGGAGATGTTGCCGCCACCGCCGCCGATCATGATCCCATCAGCTGTGATGATGCCACGGAAGGCCGGAGGAAGAAATCGCGCCTTATTTCCATGCTCGACGAGGTAACATTAATTACCCCACAACATTTTTTTTTCTTTTAATTTCTCTTTCGTTAGCTAATTCAAGTTTTAGTTTTTCGATGTGGGGTTTTTTTAAAAAAAAAAGAAAATTTGTTTCTTTGTTATGATGGTGGATCTTTCATCCGGATTAATTGTTCTTCTGCAACCCCCCACAAAAGAAACTCTTGATTATGTTCATTATCAGTTTCTTTATTTATTTATTTTTGTTAATCATTTCCATGACAAACAGAAGATTTTACTTATTACAAAGAACTTTCACCGATTGACGTGACGGATTTTGATTGGACTAACAAATTAGATTAAAATAATCCCAACAATTCTGTCAAAGCGTCAATGTGTGTTCAATTACATTTTTTAAAATAAAAGAATTGTAAATGGGATCCATGATTGACTGATCTTAACTAGTCAAAAGTTTTAGTTTTTTATAATCACAGTATAGTTTTTGATGTTGGCCATTGGTTAAACCGACATGAAGTATGTTATATATTCTCATGGCTTTGTGCTTTGTTTGGCTATTAATTTAATGGGGGATTTTTTTATTATTATTATTATAATAATAATCTCTCCTTATTTTATGTGCATTAGATTCTTTGTACTGAGGGAGCTGAGAAATGGGTGGTCTTTGGTGACAAACAAAATCTGTCTTTCTTGAAAAAGTTAACAAAAGGGAATATATGCACAAACATCCATTGTTTCTTGTTTAAGGTGTCTGATCCACCACCCAATAGGGTTGAATAATTCTTAAAACAAGTTTTAAGTGTTAATTCTATTTGTTGCTTAAAGTGGTTGAAAAGGGTACCAATTTGAAAGCGATTATCAATGTTTTTGTGATGATAGTTCTACGGAGAGAGATATAAGAAAAGCCCTACAATTGATCATAAGTTATACAAAATATATATCTGCATGCCTTTGGTAAATGACTCGTTCGCGGTTGTTTTTGTTTAAATTTTTATGGGAAATTTTAAATTCAGCAGAATTTTGTTTTTCCTTATTGGGATTTGTGCAAATTGGAAATTGGTGTCTTTCTTGTTATTACCCTTTTGGATCGATAAGGCCATGCTTGGTTTAGAGAAGCTATATAGGAGTAGATCAAACAGAAGTTTAAGAATTATATATGGAAAACTAGTTAAGTTCTTTCTCTCTGCTTTGTTTTGATTTCCCTTTTTGGAATGGATGGAACTTGTAAGAAGGTCATATTAAAGAAATTTGTTGGCCATTTGTTTGCATTCTGGATGAAATGTTGTCCATTTGAAAAGAATTAAAATTAGCAATAATGGATTAATTTGAGTAGATGATTTTTTTTCTTTTTTTTAAGTGGAAGTATTCCTTTGAAGAAGTAAGTTATGATAAGTTATTGGTGATTTCTAACTTTGATGATGAACATGAATTTCAATATAAAAACATTATTTTTCACTCTTTTCTAAGTACTGAAATTTTAGTCGATAGAAGTATCAGTCAAAGCTAATACTTGCAAGTCGCAGATGTCATTTTTAAAATAAAATTCGGCTAAAAATTTAAATAGACAGAAATTTGGATCAAACAAGTCTTATAACTCCAAAAAATTTTACAACATCAATATTTCCATCTACATAGTTCCAAAATTGACTCATCCTAGGGATTTGAAACTCCATAAAAAAGAGCCCTAGATTCTAAAGCCTAGCAAGCTTATTATTATTATTTTTTTAATTTCTTCCTCAGGTTTACAGAAGATATAAGCAATACTACCAGCAGATGCAAGCCGTGGTTACAACATTTGAATACGTTGCAGGGCTTGGGAACGCAGCTCCCTACGTGAACTTAGCCGTAAAATCCATGTTCAAGCACTTCAGGTTCTTAAAGAACGCCATTGCCGACCAGCTCCAGTTCAACAAGCAGCAGCAGCAGCCGTACAGCCCATATTGCCAAAGATCCATTCACAACAATGCCGCATTCCTCGACCACCAACCCGTGTGGCGGCCGCAGCGGGGCCTCCCCGAGAGCGCTGTCACCGTCCTCCGGGCGTGGCTCTTCGAACACTTCCTCCATCCGTAAGAACACTCAAACCCAACTCAACTCTTAAACTCGAAACAACATACAACATACAACGTGTGTTAATTAAGAATATGAATAAAATTATCAGATTTATTATAATCTACTAGCTTAAATTTTTGGAGTTGAGCGACAATCTAATACAATGATTGATTAATTGTTCAGTTGTTTCTGTGTAACAGTTATCCTACGGACACCGACAAGCTCATGCTAGCCAATCAGACAGGTTTGTCGCGGAGTCAGGTGTGTTTGAAGTAGGGTATTAAATTTCTACTGCCATATCCATATTTAATATATTTTTCATATGTTCGTGGGAGGTTTTTGATATCAACTTAAGAAAAAACTGTTGAAGGAGGCAACTAATTACCATAACTGTTGAATGCATATTATAAAATTTGCATGTGCTCTTGGTTGACAACGGGATACAAATTTGAAATGTAAAACTCAACCACATCGTTGCAATGAACTCGCATAATTTATCCAATCTAGGAGAGAAATCGACCCCAAACATTATGATGATATATATAAAAAATATGATAACAAAATATCACATGTGGACCTAAATGCTAAGAGTGTGATTAGGAATGATGGTAGAATAAGTGATTTTGAAACAAATAATTTGACTTCCGATATATATTATTTTGACAAGCTAACATAGAGGTAAAAATCAAAATGATTATTTTTTAGAGTTGTGAACTAAAATTAGACATTTCGAAAGACTTTCAATTAAACTAGTTATTTCTTTAAAATTAATTTAAAATTTAATTTGTGGGTTGATTAAATTATGATTGAAGTTTTTGTCCAGGTATCGAACTGGTTTATCAATGCAAGAGTGAGGCTTTGGAAGCCAATGGTGGAAGAAATCCACATGCTTGAAACAAGGCAAGCTCAGAAATCTCAGCAGAGAGAACCCAATGGCAATGCCTTAAACAACGATACCACAAACGAATCCTTGAAACAAGACCACAACAACAATAATGCTAATGCATCTTCTTCAAACCACGACGACGACCACCACCCAGTACTGGACTTGTCCAACCCAAATATCTTTCCATCCCACCACCCCCACGCGGCTGCCGGAGCTGCCACCCTTGGTGGTGGCGGCGGCACCGTTTCCTTAACTCTCGGCCTCCACCAGAATCATGGCCACAGCGGCATCGCCCTCTCGGAGCCGTTCCCGATCAATACAGCTCAGCATTTTAACCTTGGGTTAGAGGCCAACGGTGAAGGGTTTGTAAACGAGTGGTTTTGAATTTATGTTGGCTGAAGATGTTCGTTTTGGATCATTGGACAGCTAGCTGTTAATTCCCAGACAGTATACTGACAAATTTTGAGCTACATGTAAGAATTTTATAATCCAGCTGATATTGGATTGGAGGGTTAGCCAAATTTGTTGTCCCTGACCTGTAATATTATTGTTGAATTACTCTTTCTGACAAGGCTGCGCCTACAAGCAATATATATATAGCATAAAGTATTCAATATGTAAACTTTCTGAAGTTGCAAACTTTGTACCTTGGGGGAAAAAATTTACACAAGAAATTAGTGTTATTGGCATTCAAGGAGTGATAGATAATCAGTTTGATGATGAGTGTGATCACTGCTGGGTTTGTTCTTTGTCTTGTTCGCTCAAGAGACATCTCCTATCTTCGAACTCGGGCTCGAGGAGAAGATGACGGTTGTTTAAGCCTTGCCTTATGTTCACTATGATAGTCTATAGCTGTAGTCTAAAGTTAAATATGTTAGATAGACTTCTGAATTTGTGATCATTTGGTTGCGTATTTTGTGATGTTGAATTTGAAAGCTTTTATATAGCGAAGTAAAGAGGGTTTGGAGATTGGTGCCTTGTGTTTTCTTTTGTTGCTGTAAAGCTTTGTTCAGGGGTATGTTATCAATATATAATGTCAACGTGGTTGAGTGATTGTAGGAGAATGAATTCAAATGGTAGGGTGAGCACCTAATTAAGATTTAATGTCTTATATTTTCTTTTTCTTTTTAGATAAATAATCAAATTTTCGATATTAAATTCTTCTTATTTTATAATTTTTTATTCGAATTTTGTAAAGTTTAAAAGCTTCAACGATTTGGAGATTAAGTATCTAATAATTAATATATAATATTATAATCTTTGTCACTAATTGAAGTTATTATGTAGTGATTTCATAATATGAAAACTTGTAGATGACAATTATGAATTTTGAGATTGTTATCCTATTAAATTTTAAGTGAAGTTCCTTTAAACGAAAAGTCTAGATCCATCATTACTTTGACCTTGAAAAAATGAGCAGATAACATTTACCATTAAATTATGCTCATGTGGACATATATTTGATAGCTAGCGAGAGAGTTAACTACAATCTAATGACCACCTTTGGTCAAGATTTAAACTCCCACCCATATTTATTTGAACTAAAAGAAATATCAGACATAATTCAAATATATAATGGCTACAGTAGCTACAAAAATTTGTTTTCAAATATGTATAGCACTTAATGATTATTAATTGGGACAAAAATTTAATAAATTATCGAGTTATTAAAAAAAATCTGACATTTAATATTTTATTTTGTTGTTAACTAATTATTGTAAAGAAAATCTTTAAAGAACATTAGGTTTTATTGTAAGTAAATTTACGTGTCCTTGTCGCATTAGGTAAAGCATTTGACTTTATACACGTAATATTTCTGAATAACATCAATAAGGAGAAAATGTAGATTTGACTAAATTTTAAAACCTATCTTTTAATTAATTGTTCTAAAGCTTGGAAATGACAGTTTTGGCCTGCCCTTTTTTATATTTATAAAAAGAAGGCACATGTAACATGTGGTTCTTCTAAACTATTGAGGAGAATTAAATTGTTCATTCAATCTCGTCAAAGTGTGCATAAGTCAACGGTAATTGTCATATATTTCTAAATTATTATAAAATCATTTTGAAACAGACCCTAATGATAATTAATTTTGTGAAAGTAGTTTTCGTATACTTATTTTAACGTTTGGTTACACACTTTTTAAAGTGGTTTTTATATAATTAAAAATGATTTTGAATGGTTAATATTTAAAGTTTAAAGAGAGAATTTGACAGAAAAATTTAGAGAGAGAAAATTTAGAGTGTGAGAGATAAAAATTTGAGATGGAAAAATAAATTTTGAAAAAAATGTGAACTACAAATTTAGAGAGACTACAAACATTTTAAAGAAAAAATTAGAGACAAATAAAGTTAGAGTGAAAAATAAGGTGCATAGAAAACAATAACCATTTTAAAAAACTAATTTTCTATTAATTTTTTTGTCAAAAAATCACTTTAGGAATCACACTCCAAGTGATTRATCCGGAATCACTTATCAAAAATCACAATCTTTGATAAATATTTTATTTTAAAATGGAAGTGATTATGATTAAAAGTGATTATAGCCATGTCAGAATTACCCTAAACATATCTTAAGTAAATGCATGAAAAATGCATAGGTAAAATGTTATCCTTTAAATTTTCCAACAAAAGAAATTTAGAAAAAGATATTACCCTGATAATGTCGATCTTGATCAACCCCAATGCCTCTGCTAATACCCTGAGCCTCCCCCTTGAAACTACCATGAAAACCATCTGAAAATTGACTGAAACGGCTCCAATTTCAACCTAGAAAACCCTAAACTCCGAAACTGTACCATGGTGCTACGGACCCTAAAGAGTCCGGGAGCACAGAATAGGACGGCGCCGCGGTGCTGCCTCCTTGGCCCTTGTGGCCTGCAGCACTCCGCTTTCTCTTGTTTTCATCCCGCTTTGATCCCGACTCATCTCTTGCTCGTTCCGACGTCGTTTTGGCTCCACCAATCCCAACAAGAAATGAGAATCAATTTTTTTTCATTACTTTGATAATGTTTACCAAATTGTATGAATGAAATCAAACAGTGGAACCTGTAATTTTAACGTTGGTTAATTTTGATTTATTTACTTTCAAAATGTTCATTTTAGTCAATATATTTTCAACTTTAGTCCCTACGTCTTCATACTCCTACTTTAAAAAAGAAATTCTTGTCGCATTAAGAATAAGTTTTCTTATGAACTTTTGAACTTGAATTTAGCTTATTTGATGATTAAGCTCAACAACCTAAAAATACAACCGAGTAATTAACCAAATTATGAGCACATAAACAATAACAAATATTTGAAAACTATTTTTTAGTTGGAAAAAAAAAGAAAAAGGAAAAGAAACTTCTTTTAAAATGTAAAATATTAATTAAAATAAAATGATTATAAAAAAATCCTAATTAGTCAACTTACTTTAAAATTTAATAAATTATAAATCAAAACCTTCCATGTCCAAAGCAATCAATTAATTCAATAAGTCCCATTGCACCCTTTCAATTAACGAAAAAACAAAGTAACAAAAAGAACCGAATTGCAAAGAAATAAGCATTTATAAAAGAAGAGGCATGATTCATGTAGGAAAATAAAAAGATATTAAAAAATCATTGTCAAATAAATATTTGGTTTATTTAAGATACAACTAATAATGAGGTGGAATTCAATTTGGGACTCATTCAAATGGGAAATCAATTCTCATCCAAACTTCCAAAGTTTCCCTGGGAAATTTAAATATCACTCCACATTCATATCCATATTTTGGAAAGAAGAGTTGACTCCATATTTCTAAGTCAAAATTACTTTTTTACTGAGAGAATATATATATATATATTTTTAAATTTATTAAATTTGTTTTGAATTTGAATTAATAATCAACTTTTAAATTTTTTTAAAATATAATTAACTTTTAATTAATCTATTATGATTCAAATTCCATTTGAGTTCTAAAGATATGTTTGGTAACGTTATTTTTTCTAGTTTCTCTTTTTAATAAATAGTACTAATCATTAGTTTTTGTTTATGTCATTTCCAATTAAAAAGTACATAAAAATATGTATGGTAACTATTTTTCGTTTCTCATTTTCTACCATTCTAAATAAAAAGTAATTTTATATAAAAATTAATTTTTAAAATTAACTAATTAGAAATTTTATCTTATATTTATTTTGTATTTTATATGTCAAAAATGATAAAATAATGTTTTTATTTATATTTTGAACAAAATAAAAGAATAAGAACAATAAATAAAAAACAAGAAAAAGTTTATTGTTTACAATTTTTTTATACAACCTTAAAAACGTTTCTTAAAAGTATAAAAAGACGAGATAGTAGAATAGTTATGAATTGATGAAAAAAAAAGAAGAAGCTTTTAAAAAGAAGAACCAAAAGAAAAGCCATTCATGTAGGGTTTTTTCCCCTTTAAAAATAAAAAAGATATTAAAAAATAATTGTCAAAGAAATATTTGGTTTATTTAAGATACAACCAAGAGTGAGGTGAAATTTGATACTCATTCAAATGGGAATTCAATTCTCATCCAAACTTTCAAAGTTTTCCTAACAAATTCAAATAATACTCCATATTCATATCTATATTTTTGAAAGAAGACTTGACAAAATATTTCTAAGTCAAAATTACCTTTTTACTGAGAAAATAGATATTTTTTAAATTTATTAAATTTGTTTGAATTTGAATTAATAATCAACTTTTTAGTTCTTTAAGGAAATAATTAATATATTAGGATCCAAATCTCGTTAGGCCTTAAAGACAAGTTTGATAATGTTTTTTTTTCCTAGTTTCTCATCTTTTTGTTCATTTTCTCTTTTTTAATGGATAGAAATAGAACTGGTAATTATTATTTTTTATTTATGTCATTTTAATTAAAAAAAGAAATAAAAATAGGTATTGTAACTATTTTTTGTTTCCCATTCCCTACCAATTTAAATAAAAATTAAATTTTAAAATTAAATAATCAAAATTTTTTATCTTATATTTACTTTAAATATTTATTATGCATTTTATATGTCAAAAATGATAAAACAATATTTTTATTTATATTTTGAACAAAATAAAAAATAGGAACAATAAATAAGAAATAAGAAACTTTTGTTTACACAATTTTAAAAACATTTCTTAAAAATAAAAAGATGAGATACATTTGATTGGGTGATGTGAAAACATAAATTTGAAAACTATGAAAATAACTATATTTTTATTAAATCAGTTGTTTTCAAATTTATGTTTTCAGAAATATAGTTATTTTCATAGTTTTCAAATTTATGTTTGATAGTAAATTTAGAAATTGAATTTCAATTTGAAAATTTATTCAACAGGTTTAGTACTATATTTGAAAACTAAATTATCATTGCCAACTAAATATTTGGTTAAATATAAAATAATATTTATTGATTTATTAATATATATGTCATAAAATTAGTAGAATTATTATGTCACANTGCAAAAAAAAAAAGGAAAATTCACTTATTCTAGTTTTGCCTTTACATTTTTCAAAAATACTTAAAATAAAAAACAATAAATAAGCCATAAATATTTACTCTTCACCCACATAGGGTCCTAATATTTTAATCGATAATTCCGTCAATTATTTGTACTGTATTTAATTTAAAATATCTATTTTCGAGCTTAATGTTAAGGCGAATATCTTGTTATTTTAAAAATTTAAAAAATGTAGTGCTACCATGTTATTTTTTTTGTAAAAATATTAAATTAGTAGCATATTCAAATGATATTTTATTTCATTATATTATTGGGTTAGAGGCGTGGGGACACAGTCGGCAGAAAATTTTCACGTGTGTCGTATTTTGTAAAACCACCAATAAAACCCGTCAGGTCAAATTTCGTAGTCCACAACTCTGTTCCTCTTTAGGGCTTATTCGTTTTCTTCTTCTCTAGGGTTTTTCTCTGTTCAACGCCAAACTTTTCTCCCAAATTCTTGATTTCCTTGTCTTTAAAGACGGATGTGAGATCAAGATCACCCATTCTTCTGCCATCTTCGAGGACGGCTTGAGACGGGAAATGAATATGGAGGCTCGAGTTAGTGTGGTGGTCGAAGGAGGCCAGAAGGCTCTTAATTCTGCTCCCGGCGCCGTCGTCGACGGCGGCGCCAGGAAATACTTACAGCAACATACCCAGAACAAGCCGTCTTTGAACCAGCAGTCGCAGATTGGCACGGTGCAGCAGCTTCTTGCTGGTGGTATCGCCGGTGCCTTTAGCAAGACATGTACGGCGCCTCTTGCTCGCCTCACTATCCTCTTTCAGGTTTGCTCATTTCTTTATCGGTTTTCGTAGTTATTTTCAAGAAGATTTCTTTATGTACTCCTTGTTTATGGGTTGACCAGGGTTTTTTCTAATTTTGTATGTTGCGTCCGATTTCTTTAATTAAGGGTTGTTGGTGAGGAAAAATTTGGTATTAAATTGTTCTTAGGACTTGGCTTTACTTGACACGAGAAACTAGCCATTGTGTGGATACTGGGATTAACTTGATACACCAGTCTTCTTGTACTTCTATTTTATCTCTTGCTCTGTCCTGAATCAATCTAGTTTGTTGACGTTCTTGCATGATCTAACTTCACCAGGTGCAAGGTATGCACTCTGATGTTGCAGCATTGAAGAAAGCCAGCATATGGCATGAAGCTTCGCGAATTATCAATGAAGAGGGATTCCGAGCATTTTGGAAGGGCAATTTGGTCACAATTGCTCATCGCCTACCCTATTCTTCAGTCAATTTCTATGCTTATGAACGATACAAGAAGGTGAGCCATGGGTTCTATTAATTTTTTTTTCGCTTTGTGCTAATTGGTGTCGGAGCATTTCAATATTTTTATAATCGTCACTTGTCTTTTCCCTCCTCTTTGCAGTTTCTGCAGTCAATTGTTAGGGAAAGATATCAGGGTAATACCAGCGCAGATCTTTTTGTGCATTTTGTTGGTGGTGGTTTGGCTGGAATAACAGCTGCCTCTGTTACGTACCCACTGGACCTTGTTAGGACCAGACTTGCTGCACAGGTTAATTTCTGTTATTGTTGATGTCGCCGGTAGTGCATTGTTGCAATTATGATTATTCTTTACAAAGATTTTTTATTATTGGATATTCATGATTCACATTTTTTCTCCTCCATCTCATTGTTTTCTCTGTGTGTGTGTTTTATTGAAATTAGCTAGTTGTAGCATCCAATCCTTGTGTTATCTTTATTTTGTTTCTTTGTAATAACCCTTTTCTGTATTTGAACTTTACAGAGAGATACCATTTATTACAGAGGCATCGGGCATGCATTCCATACAATTTGCAGAGAAGAAGGTTTCTTTGGCTTGTATAAAGGACTTGGAGCTACCTTGTTGGTATGCAATTTTCTAGTTATACATGTATACCTACATATATTTGCTTTGTTCATTTGACTTAAACGACAACTTTAAACTATGTGGTGCAGGGTGTTGGACCAAGTATAGCCATCAGCTTTTCAGTTTACGAGAGCTTGAGATCATTCTGGCAATCTCGAAGGTAAAGACTTTGTGCTTAGGTTATGTTTGGTCATACTATATTTAGAAGTCATGTACATTTTGGTTCTATACTTTTATGTTTTGGCATAATTATCATTTGATTTGACACCAGGCCTCATGACTCCACTATAATGGTCAGTCTTGCTTGTGGTAGTCTTTCCGGCATAGCATCATCAACAGGTAAGTGTGGTTTCTTAAATTTTTTCTTATACCTACTCACTTGACTTGATATAGAATTTTGAGATAATTTTGCATTGAATCAATCTGAAAAAATGTTCTTGCTGCAATAGTACAGTCTATACAATGCACACTTTTAACTGATATGCGTAATACAGTAGCTATTTTAGTTTACCTGCATTACTAGTGAACTAGTTTGTCTTTATGCCTGCTTTAATTTAATCTCATGATTATTTTAGCAACATTCCCTTTGGATCTCGTGAGAAGAAGGATGCAATTGGAAGGTGCTGGTGGTCGGGCCCGTGTTTATAACACTGGTTTACATGGAACATTTAAACACATTGTGAAGACAGAAGGTCTTAAAGGTTTGTACCGAGGGATTCTGCCAGAGTACTACAAGGTTGTACCAAGTGTAGGAATCGTCTTCATGACATACGAGACTCTGAAAACATTTCTATCACGAATGCCCCCCAGTTCATAGTTGCTTTCAAATGCCCAATTCTTCGATTTGAGTGCTTATTTGAGTCACTGTATTATTTCCAGCTTGTAGTATTCAACGAAGAACAAACTGAGATCCATAGAAATAGGTTACTGGTCAATAGGATAATACTTTAGAGTGGTCAATTTTTATTATTTTTTTGAGGAATTTTGTTGCAGTAAATTTTTGCTTTTTACTGCCAGGAGACGATTAATATTTTTATCTTGTACAGGAAGAGTTAACCCAAAGAGTTGCCAGTTCTGATACCATTAAAGGTTGACATTGTATTCATTATCTCAAAGAGCTACATTGCCTTTATTATACTGATTATCATTCTTCGTTAAGAGTTGTCTTGTGTCTGCTTATTCATGCGTTTAAATTGTTCACTGAATGATGCTCAAAAGAAAAAAAAGAGGTTCACTGATCTCCTGGCTCTGCTAAATTCTATCGTTTGAGAACATAAACTTGTTAGTATCATACGATCATTTGTATATAATGATTTAACTATGATTTGCTGAGGAACTTTTTTGGTGTATCGGAAGTGGTTCAATTTCTCTCATTCTCTTTAATATGCTGTCTGAATATCATCATCTATGTCCGAATATCATCATCTATGTCCAGAATCTAATCAGTATTTGAATCCAACACTTGATCGCCATGTTTTCATGCCTCCGTTGTGACTCGAACATGTCGATCTAGTTAGCGAATTATTTGCAAGAGTTAAGGCTTTTAACAAATCAGCACATGTTTTTTCAGTACACTTCCAGAGGCAAAAAAAGAAAATATTTGGAAGTCACTTATCTCATAATTGGTTAATACAAATGGTACCAACCAAATTCTTGTATATTTTTTAGTTGTATAGCCTTATACCTCTATAATTAACCAAATTCTTGTATATTTTTTAGTTGTACAGCCTTATACCTCTATAATTTTGGAATCGCATAACATTGTATAATAAGTTTTCTTTTCTTTTTCTATTTTCAGTATAACAAGTGGGGTGGAGCATTCACATGATATTTTGGTTAAAGATATATGCCAATTAATTAAACTGATATTCGTTGTTGATTTATGTGTTCTTGCATCTCGGAGATTAGAAGTAGGAAAAAAATTGAAGGTTTAGATGAGACATTTTTAAACTTTAGGTATATTAGACACAAAATTAAAAATTTCAGAACTATTAGACAATACATTTAAAAGTACAGTCTAACTTAATTATAAAATAATTTGTTAATACAACTGTAAGAATACGTAAGAATGTTTACCGTTTT